TTTCTGGGAGAAAGGAAGCATAAAAATTAAGTAAATAATAGTGATTTATAAATGGTATATAAACTACTTTAAAAAGTAACTTTTGAAGCTCTGGCATTCTACTTTTTCTAACCATGGGGAAGTGGTCTTCCAGCAGTTATCCTTTCCTCAGTGATAATACAAAAAGCAAGGCTTGTTGATGTTATTATGTGCCTTCAAGTTGACTCTGGGTGCATCTATACTGCAGAAATATTGTAATTTGACACTGCTTTAGCTGCTATGGTACCTATTGAAGCCTGGGATTTGTAGTTTGTCATGGCACCAGAGTGCTCTGAGAGAGAAGGCCAAATAGCTCACAAAACTACAAATCCCAAAATTCCATAGCACTGAGCCATGGAACTAAAACGGTGTCAAACTACATTTTTTCTGCAGTGTATATGCAGCCTCTGACTTATGATGACCCCATCTTAGGACCTTCTTGGCAAGATTTCTTCATGGGGGTTTACCATTGCTTTCTTCTAAGGCTGAGAAGGTGTGAGTTGCCCAAGGTCATCCAGTGGATTTCCAGTGATAAGCAAGGATTTGAACCCTGGTAACCTAGAGTCCTAGGCCAACACTTGAACTACTATACTGTGTTCTGTGTTGGATAGCCATTACTTTTCTTCTTAGCATAAGGAGAAAGCAAACAGGAAGAGTGGTTCTTTAATCTCTGTGGTTGAGCAAAGAAATATAAAGGGGTGTGAAGTACTGCATACATAGGTGACGTTAATGTTGGTGTCAATTTGAAATTTGAAAAGGCGTGTACAAATGCACCCTTTCACCTAGTTTCAAACTCTCTAAACAGAGACATAAAGTCTCATCACAGATGATTCTTTGTTGTAAACACACTTTCCCAACCCACACTGAGTCTGGAAACTAGACATTAAACATGAAATAGTGCCACTGTTGTTCCATCTCTCTCTGAAATCTTATTTGTCATCATGACAGTTTGCTACTGTGGGGACCCAAAGAAATCCCTAAAAGACATTCAGACAATACACTGGGTTTATTTAAAACAATGTATTTGTGGCATATATACCTTATTTTCCTGCGTATAAGACTACTTTTTAACCTGCAAAATCTGTGGTTAAAGTGGGGGGGTCGTCTTATACACCGGGTATAAGGATAAGGAGGATAGAGGTGCTAAAACTCTATATTTTGACTGGGAAAATGGGGGGGTCGTCTTATACGTAGGTTGTCTTATACGCCGGAAAATACGGTATATATATATATATATATATAGGCTTCATATAGATATCATTTTGGACATTTGATCAATGGCCATGGAATTTACCATCATAACCCTTCAGCAAATCCAATTTACATGGTTATTGTGGGGGTTAATAGCATGGCAGAAACCATGTAAAGTGGCCATGTATGTTCCTGTAGCTAATAACAATAACCACAGTGTTTTGCAATGTACAGGCACTTCTGACAGTCTCTTTCGATTGTCTGTGTGTGTGTTCACGTGACTACACATGTGGGCACAATTTGGTGAGCAGTGATAATGTTGGTGAGTATTTAGTAAGAAGTTAAAATTCTCCAGAATTTGGATGTTTTGTCAAGAAGATGGTTTCTGGACAGTTTTTGTGGCTTGTGGCATCACTCTCATCAAATCTTGTGCAACAGGGAATTTGTTGGCCATGGTCTCCTGAAGCTTCCAGAACATCTTCTGGAATACAGATGTGTTATCTGCAAGCAATCAAAGAAGGTTGCTACAGTGGTATTTTTATGGTTTGTTGCATCACTGCCATCTAAATCTTGCAAGTCTGATTCATTATGTGAGAATGGCTATTCAGAAAGTTGGTTATCCTGGCTGTTTTCTGGAATATGGATGTTTTGGTTTTAATAGATACAAGAAGATGGCTCATGGGGAATTTTTGATTTTTGTTTTCCTTTCTGTGTCCCCCCCTCCCCAGAATTTAAATATGTTGCTCTGAACAGGTACCAGAAAATATTTCTTTTGGGATGTTTTTGGCTAAGTGAACTACTCCCATTTAGTACTAGTGTAATTGGTGAATGTGTTGGGTATAACTGACTTGGAAGTTGGTATTTCAGGGCATTTGATCTTGTTCTGTCTGATTTCATGTTATTAAAGGGTTAATAAACGTATAATATCTGAAATGTTTTAGTTTTAAAATAATTGTTCTCACATATGCCCAATACTTCTCAGTGATTTGGGCACATCTTACTCAAAAGTGGCCCATTTCAGCTCATTCATTGGGAAAATCCTAAATATCCCTCATAAAATAGAACTTTTCTCCCTGGATGTATGGTGATTGCACATTTTGTCCCACAAACCCACTCTTACAAGGGCTAGAGAAGTGCTTTTGTAAAAGAAAAGAAAAGAGAAAAGAAAAAGAAGTTAAAGCTTGGAATCCAGGCCAGTTGATGGTCCAAATGGATACCAGGTGGCATGCCCAGCAACTGGCTGACCAGTTTATATGGCAGCCTGCATGATCCTCATTCCTGTTCTAGGGCAATTCAAGAAATAATTCTCAACATAATGAAGAACTTAAAACCTTATTACACAAGCCAGGAAAATTGCAATTGCATCAGGATAATAATGCCTTTGGTTGGCACTTATTGCATAATGTTGTCGATATTCTATTATTATCCTCTGGCTGATCATTTTAAAAGCACTTCTTGTTATTAACAGAAAGAAAATCTGTTAGTGACTTCCTTTCCCACTTGTGTATTTCTATGATTTGCTGTGCAAAAGATCAATTGCACTTCTATGCCAGTTTTGGGTGGTCTGCAGTGCTTTGTGTGGCAAAATGTAGTGCTCAGGGGAGAAAGAGAAGCCCACCCACCTGGGCTCTTTTTCCATGCCTGTTCTGTCGCTACAATGCTATTCTAGAATGGTAGTGTGTGGTAATGGTGCCCTCATTCTCTCTCTCTCATTCACACATACACACACACACGCACACACACGCACACAAACATCCCTGAAAATGTAAGAGGAAAAGCCAAAGGAATAGTACAGTTTGTGTGTGTCGTATGCCTTCAAGTTGTTTTTGACTTATGGTGACCCTAAGGCATACCTATAATGAGGTTTTCTTGGCAAGATTTTTTTCAGAGGAGGTTTGCCATTGCCTTTCCCTGAGGCTGAGAGAGTATGACTTGCACAAGGTCACCCGATGGGTTTCATGGCCAAGCTGGGAATTAAACCTTGGTCTCCAGAGTTGTAGTCCAACACTCAAACCACTACACTACATTGTCTGTCTACTTAATAAAGCAGTAACACTCTGCCTCTTTTTTGCTGTGTCTTCCTTCAGACATATTATTCACTGCATGAGGGTAGACCACTAAGATAACAGTAGCTGCTCACTTTCATCAGCCAGTGGTACATTTAGCCTTTATATCCCCACAAGAAAAACAAGGGTGTGTGTGTTTGGGGGAAAGCCTTTTAAAAGATAACACTGGTTTCATTTATATTTCTGTTGATGGTAGGTCTCTCTCTCTCTCTCTCTCTCTCTCTGTGCATGTGTGCCAAACTAGGAAAAGGAGAGGGACTGAGTAATACCAGGTGAGCAGGGCCAAATGCTGCCAAATGCTGTGCATGATACGTTTTTTGTGGAATGAAGGCTCCAGTGCTAGGAAAATTATGATGGTGCGATAGGGAAGAGGACAGTCCCAACTGAATAGTGCTTTTGAAAACAGTGCTGTTTTAACAGGGGAAGAGTTTCGTCACACTTCTGCCAAGGCAAATTTCTCTTTGTATGGATGCCATTTCAGCTGGTGAGTATTATCTTTTATTCTAGTTTTAGTTAAAACTCATCAGAAAAAAGTGCCTTCATCAGCAGTTCTTCCAAAGGCAAACCACGCTTTTGAAGGGATCACTATATGCTCGTCCACGTGCTCAGCTTGCTCACAAACATTCTTAGTACACACACGCACACAGAGACACACTAAACAGGTAGCTGATAAACAAGTACATGATGACACAATCTGGTAGCAATTCCCAGCTCTGTCTGACTGCTCAGAAGAAAAGAACAAAGAGGCAGCTTGTAAGTCCTTAAAAGCAAATGGATTTTAGTATAATATCTAGGGTTGAGATGACTGGGCACCTGTCAATGCCAATGCCTGACACTTCTGTAGAAGTCCTCCTCTTCCTCAGTATTGCTTCCTTGTCCTTTCAAGCTTGGAAGTAGGGAAGAGAGTAAAGAAAAGAAAAATAACCCTGTAATGCAGGGGTAGGCAACCTTTCCCCTTTAAGGGCTGAGGGACTTCAGCTCCCAGAAGCCTCAGCCATGTTGGCCAATAGTCCCATGTTGGCCAAGAGCTCCTGGGATTCTGGGAGCTGAAGTCCCTTGGCCCTTAAAGGGGAAAGGTTGCCTACCCCTGCTGTAATGTCTTGCTGTCTGCATTTCAATCACCATGCAGAGTGAGTCCATGTGAATTGGGGTGTGTGTAGTAGTAGTAGTAGCAATACATCGTAGCAAGAAAATGGGCCACTTCAGAACTTTTTGCCAAAGAATCACCCAAAATCTGATATCAACACTGTTTGTGTACCTTTTATGGATTGAGGTCCACACAAAAGTTAGCATTGGAATAGATCTTTTAGACTTTGAAGTGTTTTGACAATCTGATATGTTGGCTTCGATTTGCCACCTACCAGTAAGTCAGAAGGTCTCTTGTAACTGTGAGTTACTGCACTTCCATTGCCTTCATATTCATATGTGGCCACAGACAAGTTTGTCTACATAAGCTAAGAGTTCTTCTTAAAGAAAAAGAACAAGCAGAATGTTAAATGTTAGGTGAATGGTGCATTCAGTAAAGAACACTAAGCTTTTCATATGCAATGCAAACCATTATAAGCAACTGTGTGGTAAGTTTAAAAACATTTATGTAATGAGTATGACTTTCTAAGGAAAAGGTAACTTTTCCTTAAATTGACCTGTAAAACTAACTGTAGTGAATGACTCATTGAGCTATGTCCTTTGTCCAACCTGGTGTTCTCCAAATGCTTCTGACTGTACCATACCTTCCAGCTGTCCTAATTTGACAGAGACTGTTCCAACTAATCCTTTGTTCTCTCTCCTACTCCCACTTTCCCTCTTTGTCCTTAACCTACTTGGGTTGCTGCAGCCTAAGTTCAAAGTGCAAAAGCAAAGTGCAAATAACTCAGGGGGGGAAAGGAGTGGTAGGGGTGGAATGTGGCCCTTTCCAGTAGGCTCAGGCTGAAGCAAACTGCTGCAGTCTCTCTTAGGACCTTATCCCACGGGGCCAAAAGCAGCAAGAATCCACTAAGAATCAGGCGCTATAGCGCTATACATTCCCGGGTGATCACACGACGTCGCTCAGAATCGGCTAAGAATCAGGCGCTATAGCGCTATAGTTTTCCGGGTGATCACACGACGTCACTCGGAATCCGCTAAGAATCAGGCGCTATAGCGCTATAGTTTTCCGGGTGATCACACGACGTCGCTCAGAATCCAACAAGAAACCGCTCGGAATGCAGCATCATTCGGGTTCTTTTGTATGTCGGTTTCAGCGGGCATTGCAATAGCGCTAGCTTATCCATAGCGCTATTATAGCGCTAGCGCCATATTTATACTAGCGCTATAGTACTGCAATGATGCTCATATCGCTTTCTTGCCACTTTTGAGAGCAGAGTGGGATAAGGTCCTTAGTTTGTGTGTTTTCCTCATTAATCACTTTTGCCATTTGGGACACAGTTATGTTGCTTGACCACATGTGTCCTAGTTTTTATCTATGGATATTATCACACGGGGAGTCGTGGGGAGAAAGTGGAAATAAACCGGACGA